AAGGAATGAGGCCTCCTAGGGAGAGCTCTTACAACATGATGGCGAGTGTTTTTGGTATGGCGGAGTGGGGTGGATATGCAAGGTTAGCACTTCAACATTCAATTTAGTGAACAATGGAAGAGAAATGATACTGCAACTGTACTGGTAAAAAATTTCATGTGTGCATGTTCCTCCTACAAGGGCATGAGGACTCAGAGGCCATAATATGTATATTACGTTGTATGGTAGTTAGGGATTTTCCACGATGGAGAAAATCCCTATACGATGTTGTTTTATGGTGGTTTTAGAAGTCCTGCTCACGTGAGGTGAGAGACTCTATAGATGGACTATATGCTTAGATATAAGTTTCTGAGGGATATGATAATATGAATTATGATCGTGCTAAGAGTTATGCTTTAGGGTGTAATGATTTGTTCATTCTCCCTTGAGGGGAGGAATATTTATAGAGACCCTTTGGGTCTAGTGTTTGGGTAGCCCCGAGTGGCGGCAACCGCTTTCCCTAATCAGAAGAGGTTATTGATCACCTATTCTTCAAGAGTTAATGGAAGACTCCATCTCATTTGACTAATGTCCATACACGTCATCCGTACCTGTGGACGAGTCTTCAAGATATCACGTAAGTGTTGAAGCGATAAAGCAGGAAGCAAAAATTAATTTAGTATCCAGTTTTGTCATCTCCACGGAGATCGGTGTGAGAGAAAGAATGTCGTTCGACAATCTCTACGTCTCTAAGCTTGGTTTTTAATTGGTATGAGAGTAAAATCCACAAAGAAAACATATGAACAAGTAAATAAAGTATGATAGAGAACTCTTCAGGAATGACCTTCATTCACCTATCTAATACATAAATCTACCAATCAGCTGTACACAACCTAAATCACTCGTCAATACCCCCACGTATCGCTCATAAAAAAGTTTATGTCTAATACAAAGTTGAGAGGAAAACCGCATCACCTCATCGATGATGTCTCACGCAACTCGACAACACGGAACATTAAAAATCGATACCCACGGTGAATTTTAGATCTAAATCTATCTCTAGAGTTCAGAACCTAACAGATGTTCATCCTAGATCCAGATTCGAAGAGGATATGTCTACCGCAACTCAAATCCAAACATAAAGCGAGTAAACCAAGGATAACACCGATAAAGATTTGTAAAATAGATCGTATACAACACCATGATCAATAAATATACATACTATCAAAGTAAACTTACATACAAGCCCCACCACATGAAAGATACATAGAGAAGAAGGAAGATGAAGAGGGATCTCTCGCCGTGTCCAGCAAAGTGACGTAATTCTAACTCCAGATCATCGTTATGCACCCTCCAATGTTGTTTCTAAGCTATTCTACACAAAGAATATTTTTGATGAAGTTGGGGTTAAAAGTTCCTAACAACATAACCTAAAAAATGCTGAAAAGTGAATTAAATAGGGGCTGAAATTACGTGAACCGCTCTAAGTGCGCTATGAGGGCGCTTAGCGCCATCAGCAAAATCACAATTCTTGTTTTCTTCATAACTTTTGAACTGTAACTCCGATTGACGCACGATCGGAAGGATTGGAAGGCTTATTCAATGCTCTATATGATAATGAAAAAATATCCTTGCTTGAACACCTACAAAAATGAGATAAAATAAAATAACAAAGAATGATATTTATTACAACCGTGCTAAGCGCGATCTCACCTAAAATACACTTAAACCGCCTTAAAGCGCGCTAAGCGCAATTCTGCTCGCGCTAAGCGCGGTCAAGGATCCTTAGATACTGCCTCTTCATCAAAACCGTGCTGAAAAACACGCTAAGTGCGAGTGACAGTATTTTGTTGGTCAAAACTGCATTTTGAAGCAGCCTTCTTGACTCAAATGGGTTCATATTTCAACCATACATTATTACCTATAAAAATAGATGAAAAACTGTCAAACTCAACAATATGTACACAAAAACGTATATTACACACTATAATGTAAACTATACAAAATATATACAAAAACGGGGAATTATTAAAGAAAAACAAATGAATCAAGCCAATAAATGTCAATTATTCACACTAAAAATCAGTATATTTTAGCACTTATCACTAATCGATACAACTTTTGGGCGAGGACCCCCTACCTTAGAACCTTCACAAATATAACATTAGAACAAGTAATAGTGATATCATACTTGTGAACAACGTGTGGTGGAATTTATATATCAAAGACAGTTAAAATTGTTCGTATTCTCTAGCGTGAGATGCAGGAAATTTTATGATTAAATTTGACGATGGGTAATCTTTAACAATAGAGATTAAATGTTGGACCCTCGAATGCTGTTATTACTTTGTAGATGTAGTGTTTTTTAAGTCACTCTTCTATATTCAGTACTTATGTCTTTTGAACCTTTAGCTAGCCCAAAACAAGAATAATATTATAAAATTAATTCAAAATCTTCAACATAATTAATAGAAGAAATATCACAATTATAAACTTAATAAAATTAAACAAGTTGTAAAATCAAACACCCTACAACATAAAATAAATCCAATAACATTAAACAAATCTTAAAACAATAATTTTAAAACTAAATTAATTTAAAATTTATATAAAATAAATATTATTGTTTTTAATTATCTTATCAATAGGTCATTCACCCTATCTCAATCGAATTTTAATATACTCGAACAAAATAAATAAATTAATATAATCAAATTAAAAACTTAATTTAAGCAGACTAGAATAACAAATTAACGAATTTGATATATTTTGTTAATATATCTCATTTATATTATTTTGAAATAAATAATTAAAAATTATAATAAAAGTTTGAAAAACAAATTTTATCCCCGTAAAATCAATTATAGATGCTTCAAATATGGAATAATAATATACTTTGTCCATAAAAATTAAAATTCCCGTCTTGAAATCGTCAATCCTGACAAAAGGTAAGGGATTTATTTTTGGATATAATAGTAAAAGGACAAGATTTAACACATGATAAAATTATACCAGATGTACGAAGGGTGGTAAGCTATCACGCCAGCATTTATTTTACAAAATCCACTACTACATTTCTTTTTGTAAAAAACTAAAAAATAAAAAAAGAAAAAAAATATTTAATTGTAAAAATTTGTCACCCCACATGGTCTCCACCTCATTGCCGTCTGAAACTCTTATATTCAGCACCACGCACTCATTCTCATCTCTCTATCTATCTCTTCTTTCTCTCACTATTCCTTCCCCCCGAGTCACTCACTCGTTTTCTACCGATTCTCACCGAGTCCGATTTCTTCTAGAATCATCGCTTGTTCCGATTATGTCTTCTGCCTCCCCCGCCGCCGTTCCCGGCGAATTCATGCTGTTCGGAGTTAGAGTTGTGGTTGATTCCATGAGGAAGAGTGTTAGCATGAACAATCTCTCACAGTACGAACAACCTCACGACAACAACAACGACAGTATCAAGGAGGATAACAACAAAGAAGTTCTCGCCGTCGGTTATGCCTCCGCTGACGACGCCGTTCCGAATAACTCCGGCAGGAACCGCGACCGCGAGCGGAAACGAGGTTCGATCATCATTTCTCTCCGATCGGTTAACCGTTTTCTGTTATTATCTTCACTCTTATAATTTCATTTAATCCAGTAATAATTGTCGATGTTGATTAAATTGGTTGAAATTAAAACGTGATTATTGTTATTGATTTTGCATTTAAAATTTTAGATGAAGTGTTGATTTGTGTGTGAATTTTGGAATGGATCAGGAATTCCATGGACTGAGGAAGAGCACAAGCTGTTCTTGGTTGGATTGCAGAAAGTAGGGAAAGGTGATTGGAGAGGAATCTCCAGGAACTACGTGAAAACGCGAACGCCTACGCAGGTTGCAAGTCATGCTCAGAAATACTTTCTCCGGCGAAGTAACCTCAATCGCCGTCGCCGTAGATCTAGTCTCTTTGATATCACTACAGACTCGGTAATTCCATCATCATCATATTCCATTCAAACTGCTTCAATAGCTTTTTCTGAAATTAAAATAAAATTATTTTGGATTGATTTTCCAGCAATCTCTATACTTAAGCTTTTGTTCAATTAGTTATATTCCTAATCAATAGAGTATAATTATGACTTTCAATTTTCTCTGTTATTTATTAGTCTTCAAAGTTTGATTCAATAGTCAAAATCAACACTATTACTTTTACTGGTTAGGAAATTGGAAGAGAAAAGAAAGAAAACTGAAAAAATGGAAATCAAACTTCTGTTTTTATTTTTATTTTTATTTTGTTTATCCTTAGGTAGTTTTAGAGAAATTTAACAAAACTAGAATGAAATGATCTAAGAATCAAATTTTTAGAATTCAAACTTAAGGTAATTTATAAACAACACCTAATATATCATAACAGAATGTAAGGCTTATGTTTGTTCAAGTCATTTGAAAGACGTGATAGAATTTTCATGATCTGATCAATTTTTTGTGTCAGGTGTCTGCAATTCCAATGGAGGAAGATCAGGTGAAGACTCAAGACAGTGTTTCACAAGTACAGCCCATGTGCCCTGCAGCACCTGAAACTAGAAAAAGCAATGGATTTCCTTTTATGTCTGTATATCATTTGGGTGTTGACGAGAGTCCACTGGAAGAACTCACTCTAGGACAAGGAAATGCGAAACAAAATTTTGCAACCAATCTATTCCATCCAATTCCTTTTGTTCTTTCGGATCCTAAAGCTTCCACTGTGTCTGATATCACCTCTAGTTCAAGTTCATCCATTGAACCTCCAACACTTTCACTTGGGTTGTCCTTCTCATCTGACCAAAGGAAGACATCATCATCAACACACTCAGCTTTACATGCAATGCCATGTTTCAACAATGGAGATAACATAATAAGCGTTGCTTAAAAAAAGTTAGCTTATAATGATGATTATAGTCCATCATATCTTGAGCATCTTGGATTCAAAGATTACAGATATATTTATAATCTATAGTCTCCTAACTCCTGTCTTTTTGATGGGAGAAGAGAAAGGGCGATGGATTCAGAGAAAGCAAGCTTAGGTGACTAAATTTGATGCTTGTGTTCCTTGTACAGTAGTTATTATGTTATTGTTTTGTTTATGGTAAAATGTCATGACTTTAGATTCTTGTTTATTTTGGTCGTTTATGTTTGTAGTTGATGTAACCGAAAATAACAAAGTAGTCTATGTTCGTTCATTGCTGATAACGTTGGATGTGGACTACACAGATGAATGGTTGGTTTTGTGGCTATTTTGGGGGATAATATCAAGTTGGATTCGAACATTGTTGTTTAAATCGGACTGTACTGCTTGTCTGCTTCTTTTGACGGGTTGAATTAGAAATAGCTTTATTTCATTTAATTTAAGGGTCGGTTTGTTTGTGCTTTAAAAAAAATAGATTTTTATTTGTAATTTTAAACATAAATTTTATAAAATTGTTTTACAAAATATTATAAGTTTTTTTATATTTTTTTAATTTAAAAGATTAATTTTTGCATCGTATAGTATAAATATATTTTATTGAAAATATTTTAAAAAAATTGTATTTTAAAAAACCATTTAAAATAGTTTTAAAATTAAATATTTTTTTAAACTTTTAATGTTCAAAATAATTTTATTAAAATAAAATATTTATTTTTTATTTTAAATCGTAATATTTATTTTAAAAGGTAATATCTATTTTCTTTAAATCTTTAAAATGTACCTATCATTTTAAATCGTATTTACAATTACAATTTTATATTCCTGAATTAATTATAAATTTGATTTGATTTAGTTTTAAATTAAAACTAATTTAATCTTTAAACTAATTTGCACAAATTAAATTCAAAATTTTTTAAAACTCAAAATTGATTTAATTTTAAAATAATAAAATGATGGAATTATGCCCAAAACAATACTAGTATTAACTTTAATAATTAAGTAGCACTATCATCAAAACAACTTGGGGATAAAACCACCAAGAATAGATGAAACCCTGTCATAAATTTGCAACCAATGAGTATTGGTTTAAATTTGTGTTTTGTATTTTCTAAACTTTGATTTTGATTTTTAAGTATAAGATCTACAAGACCTAGCTCTCCCAATGTGGGTGTAAGGTTTGGTTTTGGATCAGATTTCAGTAAAAAAAAAAAATTCGAACTAACAAAATTTACATTTGTTTGATAAACTATTTTTATAAAAATAAAACTGAATCAAACTAATTGGTTTATGTTCGATTAATCGGTTTAAAATACTTATTATTTTAAAATAATACATTTATTAAGTAACAATTTTATTTCATGATATCGGTTTTTTTAAACTATATTTTTTTTTCAAATAAAATATTCTGCCTCTTTTACTTTTCTCAAATAAATCCATGCAACATCTATAAAATTTAATATTCATTTAACATACTCAAAATAATGACAATTCATCATAAAATAAAAATACAGTTATAGTAAATTTAAATAAATTTATATAACATATTCAAATATTTATAGTTTACTATCAAATACAAATAAATTTATAATCTATATTTAAAATGATAATTTTTCACCATTAACTATAAATATTGCCATTTTAAAATAAGTTCATCATAAAATAAAATAAAAATACAATCAAAATAAAATTCTAATTAATTTTCAAAAATAAAAAAGAGATAAAAGTAAAAAAAAATTAATCAATAATATATAAAACACAAAAATAACAATTCAAATACTTCTTCTGTTGTCTTTTTAAGTAAAGAATTTTTTTTTTCAAAATAAGAGTTTCTTTACTTTTTTTTTTATACAGCATTTATTAGTTTTTAACAACTTAACTATAATTAAAAAAAATACTTCTTTGGTCCTTAATATAATTTTTTTTTATAGTTTTGTTGATGAATAAATGTATCAGGACTATATGTAGTTCAAATACATTGATTCTTCAATGAATCTAAAAAGTCGATTTTTTTCTTATATTAAAAATTAGAGATAGTATTCTCTGCATTACTTTAATTAAATTATATTATGTATTTATGATAATTAATAATAATTAAGAACAATTTTATAAAATTGTTATATTTACTTATTCAATCATTATTTTTTTCAAAAGAAAATTTCGATACAATTTTTTAAGTGTGATTTTTACTATTTTCTAATGAAAATATGATAAATGCATATTTTCATTGAAAATTGCATGTGTAGGAGAAAATTATTCATTTGTCATATATTCATTAAAAATAGTAAAAATCATATCTAAAGAATTATATTTAAATCTCTTTATTTTTTTAATTTGTGTGTAACAACCTTAAAATATTTTCATTTTGAGACGAAGGGAGGAAAGATTAGTAGAATGGTGGTGGTGAATAGAACCAAGGATGCAAGCAGAGTAGAGACCATCAAAAGTAAAACTTAGGCTTAGTGGTGGACTAGGAATTTTATCTTAGGGTTTCTTATAATTTGTGAAAGAAAAAGTGAAGTGAATCCGATATTTTTTATAAGAGATTCTTCATATTTCTATATTCATTAAATAATTAATGTATTTGATCCATAATACAGACCAAGTACATTAATTATTCAATGAATTTAAAAAGGTGAAGTGACTCTTATTTTTTTTATCAAAGGAAACTTTCTGCATTTCATTCATAATAAAATATTCAATACAAAGAGGAACCTAATTAAATATTATGCGCCTAGACCAAGAATTGGCGGCCCTAGCAAAGGAGTGGACAACCACATTTGCTTGACGCTTTACAAACTTCACTTCAAAGTTGTGATTAACATTTAACAAACAAATAATATATCTAATAATACAGTGGAACTCAGAATCACCCGTGAGATTAGAATGGATAGCTTGGATTATTCTTTGTGTGTCACTTTCAAAGATGACTCTTTCCAGGTGCAAGTTAACAACTGCTTGGATAGATTCTTTAAGTGCCAAAGCTTCAACCTCAATAACTGAATGGTTACCAGGGTCCCAAGGCACACCTACAAAACTGAAATTACCAAGATTATTCCGAACACACCACCCTTTATTAGTAGTTCCCCGATGTTTGTTAAAAGCCGCATCCACATTACATTTTTGCCACCCTACAAGAGGCGGAATCCAAGACGTAGGATGTTGTTGATCTCTATCATTACCGTTAGGATGCTGAGCCAAAAACCATTCATTCCACTTTCGATAAGCTAGCCAGCCAAGTCGGGAGGCTTCCTCTACCTCGTTATTCCAAATAAGATTGTTCATATTATTCCAAATCTCATATATCATGACAATAAATCTTTCAACAACCTTCTTATCCTTCTTACTACAAATATCAAATATTATGGACTTAGTATCATGAAATGAATTTAAGCGATGATCCATAAGAAATGACAAACATACCGCTCTCCAACATTGGAAAGTCTCACTACAACCAAAGAATAAGTGTCATTCATCTTTAGGGTTATTTTCACATAGTTGACAAATTAGCGGGCAAGAGACATAATGCTGGCAGAGTGTAACACAAGTCGGTAAACACCCTCTACAAATTCTCCACAAGAGATGTTTGACTCTAGGTGGAGCTTTGATATTCCAAATGCCACACAAATCCTCCTCTCCTCCCCCATTTACATGATTTCTACACAAGCTTCTCCACAATCTGTAACCAGACCTCACACTATAAATACCATTATGTTCTTCTTTCAGAATCATTCTATCCTCCTTAACATCTTTCATCAAAGGAACCTGTATTATGTCTTCAACATCTGCATAGTAAAATAGTTCCTTTAGAATCCTAATATCCCATTGTTTAACATTAGGTAACATAAAATTCTTAACCGTAATACCATACACACCTTGTCTTTGGGGGCCCCGAAGAAAACCTTCTCTACTCCTCTGAATCCAAGGTTTGTTCATCACCATAATGTGACTCCCGTCACCAATACTCCACTTGCACCCTAAAGACAAAACTTCCCTCGCCTTCCAAATACTTCGCCACACAAAACTAGGATTATGCCCAAAATTAACATCAAAGAAAGAGGTTATAGGATAATACCTAGCTCTGAAGATTATAGAAACAAGAGCTTGGGGTTTTGTCAAAAGGTTTCAACCTTGTTTAGCTACCATCTCCATGTTGAAAGCTTTAAAATCTCTAAATTCCAATCTACCTTCCTTCTTAAAATATGATAGCTTCTCCCAAGACATCCACCGAATCTCACTGTTATTACTACCACCTCCCCACCAAAAAGAGTTCAACATCTTCTGAATTTCACCGCACACAACATCTGGGAGGATGAAAATACTCATTTTATAAGTAGGAATAACTTTTAATACCGATTTTCTCATGACTTCTTTCCCAGCTTTAGATAATGACCGCCCACTCCAAGAGTTAATTTTCTTCTAGATACGATCTTTGACAAAAGAGAAAGTAGCCTTCTTACTCTTTCCTATCATAGAAGGTAAGCCTAAATACTTTCCGGTTCCCAGCACATGACGAACTCCCATAATATTAGCTAGATTCTCCCTAGGCGGAATACTTATGTTGCTGCTAAAGAAAACTTTTGACTTGGTCATATTAATTTCTTGCCCCGACGCCTCTGCATAAGTATTGATTAGCTTATTAAGATTTCTAACTTCGGTAAGATTGACCCTGCAAAATAAAAAAACAATCGTCCGCAAAAAGAAGGTGGGACACACTAGGTATCCCTCTGCAAATTTGGATCTCGTGAGTATCTCCACCCGCCACTGCTCCCTTAATTAGAGATGAAAGACCCTCTGAGATAAGAATAAAAAGGTAAGGAGACAGTGGGTCCCCTTGCCTCAGTCCTCTTCCTGGTTGTATTGGTCCTGCTCTTTTCGAATTGACAAGAACAATATAGTGCACCGAAGAAACACACATCATGATCCAATGAATCCACCTTTCAGCAAAACCCATCCTTAAGCACATGCCTCGCAAAAACCCTCAACCTACTCTATCATAAGCTTTACTAATATCAATCCTTGAGAGCTAGATGAACCTTGCCCTCTTTATTCCTACGTTTGAGAGTGTGAATTACCTCAATAGCAATCATTGCATTATCAAGATAGACCGGAGGGAGTGATACATATGTGTTGTGTTATGTAAGATAAACTATTTACATATTCTGAACGTGAGATGGTTATACACATCAATTCAATTTTTCAATTTCACAAAAAGTCAAAAAAATTGAATCGAACAAGTTGGATTCAGTTTTATTGATTGGTTCGATTTTAGAACCAAATCAAAAAAAAAAAAAATTCTTCTTTTGATTCCGTTAAATTTACATTTTAGATATTCTGATTTTTTTTCTTTTGATTTCGTTTAATTTACATTTTAGATTTATTTGATTTGTTATAATGAGTTTGCACTCTACTCTA